CAGATTATTATTATAAAATCTCAAAATCTGATTGGTTGGCCCAATGCACTGTTTTGCTATGCGGAGTCCCATATATACTTAAATTAATAAAAATTTATATCCAATTTATATCCAAATTTTTATTAATATGATATCCAAATATTGGACGATCCTTGACTATACATAATAGGTTTTCACAAATAAATATATAGAATTACATCTAAATTTCTAAAAACTTTTTTCTTGAAATGTTGATGTCAAAGTTACGTTTTTGATGTCTAATTGTGCATCTAGTGTAACCTTATCTGTATTCTAATATAAACAATATAACACGAAAAAATTATTTACAACTCTTTCAAAAACTTTTTTATTAAAAATAATATACATAACGAATAGTTGAAACTTATTAAGTTTATTTAACTTTCTTTTTAACAAACACCCTTTGTATGAGACAATATTTACAAACTTTTTACCTAAAAGAAATACTCTAAGTAAAGTGGTGCAAGATGGTATTATTAAATACATTACAAAAAAAAAGAAAAAGATTAATGTTATATTTGAAATCACATTTCAGAGATACGTATCACTTGTCAAGATCTGCTGATTCTGGAAGTTGGCTATAGTATATATTTATTTATCTATCAAGATATTAGATAAATATTCATGCTACTGTATTACGTATATCTAAATCTTCGCATTAAGTAATTTTCCGGACCAACCCGATACACATTTTCCGGGTGCATTAAAAATTGGTTTTAAATATCAAAAGTTATTTATTTGTAACATTTATATACATTGTACGTATAAGTGCCGTAAAGCGTATAAAATATTAAAATATTGCTTTATTCAATTGAAAAAAATACTTAGCATTAATAAAAAAAAAATTATACATACGTATAGTGTACGTATCAGTATTATATCTAAATCTTCGCATCAAGTAATTTTCCGGACCATTATCCGGATTATCATCCGGACCCAACCCGGTACACATTTTCCAGGTGTGTTTCCAGTTTAGGGATGTCATTGGCTTTACTTGAAGCCAGCTTTAGCCATAGTTTGAAGCCAAACTAAAGTTAAGCCAAGCTAATAGTTTAAGCTATAGCTTGAGCTATAGTATAAAAATTGCTTAAGTTATAAAAAAATAACTATTGATTCTGGTTTTAATTATAGCTAACAGCTTAAACCATGAATTAGTTATAGCTTGGCTATGGCTTTTTTGAGCCAAGCTAAGCTATCCAAGCCAACAACATCCCTATTCCAGTTACAGTATATAGCATTTAATATGACCGATATGACTATGACCAAAAGTCTGATTATATGACCAAGGTCATATAGAAGAAAATGGTATGACGGCCAACACTGACTGTAACTGATTAGCCAATCATAGATTTTTTAACCATGCTATGTGAAATACAGAAAATCGATATCGTAAAATGCCTTCATTTGCCAAAGCTCGACCTCTCTCAGGTTTTCATCATTTATTAAAGTTTCGTAGGCACTTTCTTTCAACAGAGGTTTCGCCTTTCAACAGAGGTTTTCACCAAGGGCTACATCTTTCATCAGGAGTTTTGCCTTTTGCCAGAGGTTTCGTTCTTCAAGGTTTCGTCGGTTCTCCAAGAGATTTCGTTTTGCCGAGTTTACACAAATGGTTTCGCATAAAAACTATAGTAACATGGACACCGAATCAAAGAAGCAAAAAAGATGCTATGGTTGGTCCTCGTTTTGAACAAACTGATCTTGATGTTCAGGTATGCATTGCTGACAGGATATTTACCTTGAATTTGGTCAGACAACACTAACTTACTCTATTCAATAGCCGAATACTGCAGCTGCTATTGAATTGATCGCCGAGGAACCAATTCACTATGTAGATGGCAGAGTTGCCGTTTGCCACGGAGGTATTTACACTTATAATTATTCAATATGCGATTTTTTTGTTTTATAATCAAATATGATACCAACGAAAATTTTAGGTGGAGGTCCGCTAGGTCATCCTCAAATATACATAAATTTGGTAAAACATCTTTACTCCTTCTTGATCCGTCGTTTGATTTATTTTTTTCTTATTCTTTTTTCTTTGACTTTTTGCAGGATCAGCCAGGTTCTCACGCTTGTGGATATTGTACGTTTTAAATTTTTATCACTAAATTTACGTGTCTTAAATTTACATGTCCTAATTAAATTCCTAACCTTATTAACATCCTTGACAAATTTACTAGGTGGTATTAGGTTTGAACAAAAGCCACATCACCACCATTGACATTTAACAATATAACGTATACTCAAATGTTTATAGATATAAAATAATGCAGTCTAAATTTCATTAATCAAGCAAAAGTGGTTTTTTTCACAAATAAATAACCAATGATACATTGTAATAAGTTATCATCATAAAAAGTTGTGGTTTTTTATAATTGTTATTCACAAAAGCTAATATTCGAAAGCCAGTCTTTAAAAACTGCACCCAGACATTAACCACCTCATTAGCTCCATGAATCTAATACCCTAATATTCTTCCATATATTACCCCGGAGAGTAGTGTTCTGCGGATCGAGTTCAGTTCTGTAATTTTAGAATTTGTAAAATTTCCAGATCCCGGGTCCGTATAAACAACACCAGGGCGTAGGATCGATTTTCCGATCACATGATTTTCCGACGTAAATTAACCAATCAAAAACCAGGATCAGGTGTAACGTAAAGAACATATGGGCGGATTTTGGAAATTTGGTGATTATTTCGAATTTATCTTATGTTGATTATTGTATTACAGTTCTTACTTTTATAAAACCTTTGCTTTTTTTTCTTTATTGTGACGGTTTGAAAATTCGTATTTACACTTAGCAAGATCTTAGAATCAAAGATTTCAAAATAGTTTTTTAAGATCCCAAAATAAACAAAACTTTTACTAGTAATAATATTAAAGGTTTGTTTATTAATATAATAGTTAAGGTGCTATTTACTTTTATGGAACCTTTGCTTTTTTTTCTTTATTAATAACAGTTTAAAAATTTGTATTTATATTTAGCAAGACCTTAGAATTAAAAATCCCAAAATAATTTTTTAAAATTCCAAAATAGATAAAACTTTTATTAATAATAATATCAAAGATTTGCTTATTATAATAATAGTTAAAATGTAGTTTACTTTTTATAAAGCTTTTGTAATAATAATTTGAAATTTTATATTTATACTTTGCAAAACCAAGTTTTAAAGATTGTTTTAAAATTCTAGAACAAACAAAGCTTTTACTGATAATTAATTATATTGAAAGTTTGTAATAAAAATTTTAAAAATAATTTATTTTTAAAAAGATCTAGATATATTTATGCAGTAATTTTAATATCTTGTATTTTTAGAATTTATTAGATAGATTTAATAAATATAATATAGTTTAAGTGATAAATAAATATTTTTATTTTTTTTTTATTTTGATAACCTTGTACAAATTTATTAGATATATGTAAGCTTAGACTAGCTAGACTATCTAAAATCATATTCGGCTAATACCTGGCTATTATAAAAGTGCCCAAGTACAGTTATCACACTAATATTGGCCAACAAATCCTACATGTGCTGCTACATGTATTTAAAAACTTGCTATAATCTGGTACTTAGCTACCTTTGACCTTCAACTTTTTCCACCTAAATCCAGGCAAAATAGTTTATCTCTTACATTTTTATAAGAAAAAAAAATATATGCCAAATTTACGAAAGAAAATT